GGGGGGACGGGATGGGGGACGGCACTGGGACTGGAGGGCCAGCAGCTGGCCAGCAGCACTCCCACCGCATGGGCTGCTCCCTCCTGCTGAGGGCGATTCTGGGCTGGCCCGTGGCCGGCTCCCCTGGAAGGTGTCCTCACATGTCAAGAATAGCTCCTGCCGAGTCAGCCCCCCTCCCCCCCCTCCTCCCAGCTGTCATCCCTGGCCCTGTGCAGACCATTTGAGAGGCTTTCCCTCGCGCTGGGGGCTTTACGTCCACGCCCTGTGCCCTCAGGAAGTGACTAGTGCAACACACAAGGGCAAGGCAGCTCCCCCCACCATTCACCCCCCGCCCCTGGCCGATGCTCAGGTGAAGCTGTGAAGGGGGCAGGTGGGCTGGGCGCCCTGCGGAGGAGCGTTCCTGCCCCTGCTGACCAGGACTGGCTCTGCTGGACGGTGCTCGCCAGCTGGCAGCCTCCTCGGGAGCTTCACAAGTGTCCCAATCTGGGGCGAGTGTCCCAATCTGGGGCGAGCAGGGGAGCTGACAGGAAAGCAGGTTTGCACAATGAGCCTCTGGCAGCTGATGGCTTTGGGGGCCTGGCCTTCGTCTCCCATTCATCTGGGGAGCAGATGGGAGGCCCTCCCAGCCCCGCTCCGTTGGCTCCTCTGAAAAACGCATCCCCCGGCGACAGGGAGAGAAAGGGGGGTCCACCTACTGTCACTCCTGACGCCCCTCCCCTCCTCTCAAGCTCCCCAAGCCTGGCACTTCCACCCAAGAGGAAGAGGAAGTTCTCGGTCCCCAGGGGCACCCCCAGCTCCCAGACCCGCGGGAGTGGCGGCCATCGGAGGTGGAGGGGTCACGGAGCAAACAAAAGGGGGAGGGGCAGCGGCTCCCCGAAAGGGAAGCGGCGAAACCGGGAAATTCCTGAATGACTCGGTCCTTTCCAGAGGGATTCCTGGCATGTGCCATAGTCAGGGGGCGCGCCACTGGGGGTGCTCTCCGCTGCACCCTCTCCCCACCCCATACCAGACCTGGGCAACCGGGCTGAGCGGGGAAACTGAGGCCCAGAGAGGAGGATGAGCTGCTCAAGCCACACCGGCGAGGACAGAGCTGGGCTGAGTGATGCTCGAGCCCACGCTGCTGGGGTCCGGGCTTTGGGCCCCCAGGAGCCTGTCCCGGCCCAGCCCGGGTCCCAGAAAGGGGAGGCCCTTCAGTAGGGGTTCGCGGCCTGGGTGTGAGTTCCGACTCCGCCACCTGCCTGCGTGCCCTCGGCATCTCCCCATTCCCGCGAGGCCTGACAGTGAGGGCTCTGTCCATAGCGGACCACCCTACAGCCTCCCCTAAGACACCTCCTCCAGGAAGCCCTCCGCGCCTCTGTGAGGCCACAATGCCACCCAGAGTGGGATCCCCTTGTGGCCCAGATGGTTGGGGTGGGACTGTCCCGGCACCCCGAGCGTGGGGAGGGGCTCCCGAGCTGGGATGGGGGTGGCTCTGTGACGCAGAAGC